TGAACTATTGACAAATTCTTTACCCATTACATGGGTAATGATTAGCTAAAACACACATGATGAGCTTGTAGTGTAGACTGGACTGGCAGTTTTGGGTATGTGATAGCAGTGCTAGGTTCAGTAAGAATTAGATTGCTAATGAATCTAAATTTTGTGTGATGGGTCTGCTGTGGTGATCACAACTGATACTAAGCAGAGTCTCCATCTGGCTGTGGTGATCACTGCTGATTCTAAGCAGAGTCTCCATCTGGCTGTGGTGATCACTGCTGATTCTAAGCAGACTCCATTACCTCTCTTCTTCCTATAATGTTTGTTCTCGAGCAGTTTATCCAATGCTTTTTTCAGTGTTACGGTTTGTGATTTACTGTACGAGCAATGTTCGTGTAATTCTGGGGTTCGTAACCTGGGGTATCCATACCCATTGTGGATAGAATAAAATAATGGGGATGTGGGAACTAAATAATAGGAGTATGGGGACAGGATCTCTGAACATCTTGTGAAGTCATCCTGGTACCTTATTAATAGCACTGGTGACTGTGATGGTGATTTCGAGATTCTGGTGAAGTGGATGCGGGGACAGTGGAGTCTATTGGGGTTCTGTAATCGTAAAAAGGTTAAATACTCCAGGACCGTAATTCCTCTGGCAAGTGTATATATTCTTTACTACTTGTGTCCAGATCTTGGAGGCTTCACTTTGGTAAACACTTCACCACACTTCACGAAGTGTGATGTTGACGCCTTGTGGACAGTGTGAGAAATATTTCTGGCGACAGGGAAATATTTCTCACACTCTATGCAGGAATGATTTCAATCCCAAAACACGTTCGCCAACCCGTGCTTAAAACGTTTCGCTCGCCCCTCAGAGATGTTAACATTCTCCCGATGAAAAGCAGGGGCGCCACGAGTACATTGAGAGAACACAATAAGTGTCTGGGGCCCAAGACTGTTCAATTGCCTCCCAGCATACATAAGGGGGATTACCAATAGACCCCTGGCTGTCTTCAAGAGGCACTGGACAGGCACCTAAAGTCAGTACCGACCAACTGTGGCAGTTGGTTCGTACGTATTCGTCGGCCACATACAGCTGGTTGACATTACCCTGATAACAGCATGGGGCCTGGTACTAGACCGAGTCGGGGGCCTTGACTGTCTCTGCTCCAGTAAACTCAGGGTAATACCCTGGCTAGTCTAAAGATGACAGGCACAAGATACGCCAATGGTGTTCTCACTCAGCTGTAAAATGTTGATATTCCCTGACTGATACATGACTGGTCCAAATTGACATCCAACTCTAGGTAAACTCAAGTAAATTGTGCTATTGACAAATGTCCCGCTTAAAATAATTTCCAGCTCGCAAGTAAATTATATATTCCACATATCATTTAAACACATAACACAACATCAAACTGTAATAAAGTTCCCGTACTATGAAAACCTGAACAGGGTTAACACTAATATTGATGCCAAGTATATACTGAGTGCAACGTAATGGTCAGATAACACGGCAGTATTACATATGGATGCTAAATGAAATAACAGGGTCCAGTGAATATGTTAGACCTGGACGAGTATTTCTCCATGTATGATATAGTCCACATTGCAGTGTTAACCCGAGGCGCGTTATGACGAATAACCCAGTCAAATGGTAACTAACTGTCACAAGATACACAGTGTACACGGTGTAAATTGAAGAACTAGAGATGATGTAACTGACATTGTAGTAAATGACTGTGTACTGACAGTGTAACACAGATGTGATACTGACATGTAACACAGATTGTACTGACATGTAACACAGGTGTGTAATGACAGTGTAACACAGGCATGTGTACTGACAGTGTAACACAGAGTAATGCAGTGTAAACAAGGTGTTACTGACAGTGTAACACAGGATGTATACTGACAGTGTAACACAGGATGTGTACTGACAGTGTAACACAGGCTGTGTACTGACAGTGTAACACAGGATGTGTACTGACAGTGTAACACAGGATGTGTACTGACAGTGTAACACAGGATGTGTACTGACAGTGTAACACAGTGTGTACTGACAGTGTAACACAGGATGTGTACTGACAGTGTAACACAGGATGTATACTGACAGTGTAACACAGGATGTGTACTGACAGTGTAACACAGGCTGTGTACTGACAGTGTAACACAGGATGTGTACTGACAGTGTAACACATGATGTATACTGACAGTGTAACACAGGATGTGTACTGACAGTGTAACACATGATTGTATACTGACAGTGTAACACAGGATGTGTACTGACAGTGTAACACATGATGTATACTGACAGTGTAACACAGGATGTGTACTGACAGTGTAACACAGATGTGTACTGACAGTGTAACACATGATGTATACTGACAGTGTAACACATGATTGTATACTGACAGTGTAACACAGGATGTGTATACTGACAGTGTAACACAGGATGATTGTATACTGACAGTGTAACACAGGATGTGTACTGACAGTGTAACACATGATTGTATACTGACTGTAACACAGGATGTGTACTGACAGTGTAACACATGATTGTATACTGACAGTGTAACACAGGATGTGTACTGACAGTGTAACACATGATTGTATACTGACAGTGTAACACAGGATGTGTACTGACAGTGTACTGTTAACGACATGTAACAGAGTGTTACTGACAGTGTAACACAGGATGATTGTATACTGACAGTGTAACACAGGATGTGTACTGACAGTGTAACAGGATGACTGTATACTGACAGTGTAACACAGGATGACTGTATACCTGAACAGGTGTAACACAGATGATTGTATACTGACAGTGTAACACAGGATTGTTACTGACAGTGTAACACAGGATGACTGACTGTAATTACTGACAGTGTAACACAGGATGATTGTATACTGACAGTGTAACACAGGATGTGTACTGACAGTGTAACACAGGATGATTGTATACTGACAGTGTAACACAGGATGATTGTATACTGACAGTGTAACACAGGATGTGTACTGACAGTGTAACACATGATTGTATAGACAGTGTAACACAGGATGTGTATAGACATGTAACACAGGATGATTGTATACTGACAGTGTAACACAGGATGTGTACTGACAGTGTAACACAGGATGATTGTATACTGACAGTGTAACACAGGATGATTGTATACTGACAGTGTAACACAGGATGATTGTATACTGACAGTGTAACACAGGATGTGTACTGACACATGTAACACATGATGTTATGACGTGAAACAGGATGTGTACACAGGAACCATGATGTATACTGAGTGTAACACAGGATGATTGTATACTGACAGTGTAACACAGGATGATTGTATACTGACAGTGTAACACATGATTGTATACTGACTGTAACACAGGATGATGTTATGACAGTGTAACACTGATTGTATATAGTGTAACACATGAGTGTATACTGACAGTGTAACACATGAGTGTATACTGACAGTGTAACACAGGATGTGTACTGACAATGTAACACAGGATGGTTGTATACTGAGTGTAACACAGGATGATTGTATATAGTGTAACACATGAGTGTATACTGACAGTGTAACACAGGATGTGTACTGACAATGTAACACAGGATGATTATATACTGACAGTATAACACAGGATGTGTACTGAGTGTAACACAGGATGATTGTATACTGACAGTGTAACACATGATTGTATACTGAGTGTAATACAGGATGATTGTATACTGACAGTGTAACACATGATTGTATACTGAGTGTAATACAGGATGATTGTATACTGACAGTGTAAAAGGAATTTAGTTTATAGAATTTTATGCTAATATGTATGTTGAAGATACAGTCACACAGTTACTAACACCTGCTGTCACTGTTCACCTAGCAGTAAGTAGGTACCAGGATGTTAGTGGACTGGTGTGGGTGGCATCCTGGGGGACAAGATAGAAGGATCATAATGGAAGTAAGACACTCCTCAATGATGCACTGACTTTATTGAGTATCGACCTTTCCAATTAAAATTAATCATGTAGCTTTCAACTTATTGGCCTAAACTTCCTATTTAAAAAAAAAAAAATGGTAATTAAGAGCATAATTTATTTGGCTGGAATTAAACTCAATACTTAGTTCTTGTTAACTACCATCCCAGAACCTAACCTGGTGTGTAAGTAGGACCCTCCTGTAGCAGAGAACCTAACTTCTTGTATATTATTATAATCAAAAAGAATATACAGCACTGAACTTGTGTAAGCAGGGCCCTCCTGTAAGTTTATTTAGGCACAGGTACACAAAGTACAATTATCAAACAAATTACTTAGGGTTGCTTTAATCTACTGGCATGTAGACTTTGCTATACCTATTAGAATTACTTCTATTAGTTGTATATCGTCAATGGTTTTTTGTATACAAAGGTAAAATGTGTATTTGTTTTGCCACATTCTATTAGTCTCTTATTAGCGCTTAGTTTTGATTATACGTAATAATCTTTTAGGATGTAACTTAGTCTTAGATGCTGTGTACAATCAGGGGCTTTACTTGTATACTCTATAAAATGTTATCCAGTTTAGTCAAAACATGTCGTGGAAATTATGTATTTAGTTATAATTATTTTGTCTTAGTTTATTACAGCTCTTGGCCCTCTTAAGGAAGAATCACAACTCATCTTCAAGGTGTATTAGTACTATTATTTTTGATGCCTTCATGAGAGGCAGATTCAATCCAAGGAAAAAGAAGACATCTGATTCCTTGATCGTGGTCCTTGGTCCTTTCACTTGACGAACCCTTTAACCCGTAAACGGTCCAAGCAGATCTATGTTCATATGCGTAGTGCTCCAAAAGTAGATAAAAAAAAAACTTTTTTTATATACTTTCAATGTTGAAAAAATGTACATATACGTTTGGACCGTTGACGGGTTAAATATTGAACTCGTCTACTAGACCTCTTGAAGGGGGGCTGGGTAAGGCAGGAATATATGTAGAAAACAATCATAGGAAAGTAAAACCTTTTGAAAAAAAAATTATATTTATTTACCTCTGTGTGGAACTGCACATTTTTAAACTTTTCTGCCAATTTTAGAGATTCTAAAATTCCATTTTATTTATATATGTATATATATACATACACACATTATATATATATATATATACACATAATACACAAGAATTTTACAAAACGTACAAACATTTGTACTGGACATCATACTAAGAAACAAGGAGAGTGTCCTAGATTACTACCTTAAATTATCTCTACCTTAACCCTCAATATTTATGTGACAAACCCCATAAGTTTTATACTCTAGTAGTTTTACCTAGTTTATGTACCTAACTTAACACATGTAATTAACATCGACACTGAACAATCAGATCGTTCAGGTCACGTTTGCCTGGTTATGCTGTTTCAAGTAAGAACCTGTCTAGTTCACTAGGTTACCAAGTTGCCCTTACAAATGGTACCACTTACGACAGAAATATTTCCCAACAAGAGCTTGGTATGGTTACATCACATGCCAAAGATCTAGAAAAAATAGGTTCCATGGCACTGTTCTAGGAATTGAGACACTCTTGAACACCTAATACAATATACAGCAAACTCACAAGCAAGACAAAACCACCTTAAACACTTAATGGTTATTATTAACGCTGTACTAATATAAATCTCATTTTCTTGACTGCAAACAGCAGCCCATTCTTACCTAGTTGCTGCCTGCATTACCACATTGTTCAATTCAGTATAAAAGTTCCAAGGTTGAGAAAATTAAATTAATTTATATAAAATATTTTATATAAGATATAAATAATGAACATAAATGCATCCTTTATAGCAGTATTGCAAGCATTTAAACTTAAATGATTGAAAAGTTGTAGTTATGTCTGGTCAATATCTGGCAGATGCACTCTAGCTACACAATAGGCTCATTCTGCAAAATTTCAAATCCCACATTTCTTTATCTCAAATGAAATGTTAGTTATTAAACTTTTCAATGACTGGTAAGTTATATCTCAAATGAAAATATGAATAACAAAGTTTTATTGGTTCCCAAAAATAAACAAGCTTATTGTTTAACTACATGCAAACAATGGACATCTTGCAACCACCACGATGGCTCCAAAAGAACTGTGCATGACAAACTCAGTATCTCCCACGCTTTATTTCAGCCTCATCTGATGTTCCTCCTATTCCTGCTCCTGCCCCTCCTGCTCCTGCTACTCCTCCAGCAGCTACTGGTGCCTCTCTTTTAGTTCCTTGCTGGTACTGCTGTTGCTGTTGCTGCTGCAACTGCTGCTGCTGCTGCTGCTGTTCGTCTTGCATACCGCCACCTTGTTGATAACCAGCATTGCGCATGGCCTGGTACCGCTCTTCCTGCAAGGCTTGCTGATACCTCTCCTCCTGCATTCTCTGATAGCGCTCTTCTTGCAAAGCTTGCTGGTATCGCTCATCTCGTGAAGTATCATAACGATCTGTATAGCGGTCTTCTTGAAGTCCCTGGTAACGATCCTGCAAAATTTAACCAAGTGTAGTTCAACTGCTCACATTTGGTAACTAGAGAGAAAGAGATGATATTCATCTACCAGGAAAACCCTGGTTTTTCTTCCCTATTACACTTCTTAAATATTAATAAAAGCCACCATTTTAAAAATTAATAAAAGCTTTGCCTTCTACTCTTCCATTATAGCTACAACAGTACATCAAGAACAAATATTTGTCATTAGCTGTCTAACCAGAGGGGTTTTAATGTCATGTTTTCAAAGATATTTACAATCTGTAGTGTGTCCTTTCACTTCATACTTCTTAATACATGTATTTTTGAACACCGGCCATCTTCCACCAAGGCAGGGTGACCCCGAAGTAGTATCTTTTTTTTCAGGTCACCCTGCCTCAGTGAGAGAAAGCAGGTATGTTAAGAAAAAATTTACTTAAAAAATACCATTTCACTAATACAGCAGTTTTCAATTATACCCATTCTTCATTTATTCAGACTTCCTATAATAAATATATTCATCACTAACTATAAGTTGAGGATGAAAATATTTTAAGGCAAGTAGTGTGTACTGTACATGCATTTTCTACACCTAGCTCTATTGCTCACTTAATAATGATAGTGTAAATGTGTTATCAGGCTTTTATATGCATTTGAAAGCAAAAAAAAGGCTATGTTTCATTTTACAGCAATTTTCGCTTCACAGCAGTAGCCTGAAACCTAACCTGCGGTATAAGTGGGCCCCTCCTGTAATATTGTACCTGACGTACTATGTTAAGTTGTGATGAAATAGTAGGGGTGTTAATGTTGCAGTTTAAAAACTGTAGTGTAAAGCACCCTTCTGGCAAGACAGTGATGGAGTGAATGATGGTGAAAGTTTTTCTTTTTCGGGCCACCCTGCCCTGGTGGGAATTGGCCAGTGTGTTAATAAAAAAAAATAATAAATATTTGACTACCATTGAAGACACCTGTACACATGCAACAGAAGAAAAAGGCTTGCAAGATAAGCCAAGTGTGTACACGCAGGAAAAAAATCATGGTCTAAGACAGCTTGAAGGATAATATTCCGACCCATGCATTTTTATAAATGAAAAAAATAATGTTTAGAGAAGTTAGGTTAGGTAAGGTTTGTCAGGAAACAGGACAAGTGTTTCTTGATGTGGGTCTTAAGTCATACGATGACCTGAAGCCAAAGCTTATGGTCATCTGACAGAGGCCTTCCACTGGCTTACCAGTCCACCCCCTTTAAAAAATACGAGTTAGATTCATGTAAGTGCACTTAACTTCAATGAAAGAACAGTATAAACAGAGGTGGACAGTTAAAAGCATTCTTCTTTCAACGCACCAGTCATATCCCACAAAGGCGGAGTAGCAGAAAAGGAAAAACGAAAGTTTCTCCTTTTACATTTAGTAATATATACAGAAGGGGTTACTAGCCCCTTCCTCCTGGCATTTTAGTCACCCAGTCAAAAGCATTAAGGCTGTTTAATGCTCTAACACTGTTACATTGCTAAATTTAAACTTAAGCTAAGCATACGATTGGAGGGAGGGGGTAAAGGAGGTTTTGTGGGCAAGGGGCTTGAACTTCCAGCAAGCATGTGTGTGTGTGTTAGATAGGAGTGAATGGAGACGAATGGTTTTTGGGACCTGATGAGTTGGAGTGTGAGCAGGGTAATATTTAGTGAAGGGATTCAGGGAAACTGGTTATTTTTATATAGCCGGACTTGAGTACTGGAAATGGGAAGTACAATGCCTGCACTTTAAAGGAGGGGTTTGGGATACTAGCAGTTTGGAGGGATATGTTATCTTTATACATATGCATCTAAATTGTTGTATCTGGGCACCTCTGCAAAGACCGTGATTGTGTGTGAGGTGAAAATGTGTAATGGTGATGAAAGTATTTTCTTTTTTGGGATTTTTTTTTTTTTTTGGGGGGGGGGGCGGCACCCTGCCTCGATGGGAGACAGCTGCCTTGTTGGGGGGGATGGGGGGAGTGAACAGAATAAAATTTAATATTTCATGAAAAAAAAATAAAAGGATGAACTGATTCTGAATTTCAGAAACTTAGTATTATGTCGTAGACATGAGAGAAAAAGCTTCATATTAAGTGAAACACTGTCACGTAGATTCCAAGCTGCATTAAGGTCATTTTATTCCATTCTAAATATACATATATTGAAGAAATAGTAAGGATGTATACATCAAGCAAGTAGACAAACATACAGCATACATGAATGCAAAATAACATTACACAAATAACTGGCACACAGGTAAAAGATCATGACTTCATTTCAGTCCAACTTGTCAGACCGACAAGTCAGAACAAAACAGTATTATAAGCCTCTCTCTCCTATGTGCGGGTTATTTGTGTATTGTTCCAGTAACAGTATTGTGCCTTCTTATTTTTTGCAAAATAACAGGACCCAAGAAGGAAACAATATGAAAATCTAATTTAGGAAGAAAAATGGTTTTCAAAGCTTTATATACAGCATGTCTAAAAAAGGTTAAATATTTAAGTACACCTTGCTTGATAAATTATTATAATCAAAACTAAGGGCTAAACCCATAAGAGTTTTTCTTGTTAAAACAAATGCAACTGACAGCACACTCACCATTCCATATCCTCCTTGACGACCATACAAGGATCTCCCTAACTGCATTGCTTCTTGTTCACGGGCCATCAGTTCTGCAAAGATATAATTATATATACTCTTTCTACATATTTGCGAGAACTGTGTGGTATGAATATCAAGTAAAGAATTTTGGGCACTGAAATAAAGTCAATGTGAGTTCTCTTAAAGTATAATTCAGAAGACTGAGGAGGGGTTGAGGTGGTGAGGATGGATAAGAATATGTTGATAAGAGGGTGTATAAATCTGGGGTGAAAGGTAGAAGTGGGTAACCCTCCCATTTAAAGAAGTTTTTGCAACTCTAGCACTGAGCAGGCTTGTGAGCATGTTAAAACTGAATGGAGATGGGTGGCTTCTTAATGGAGGTACTGTTGATGTGTGACCAAGGCAACTTTTATAAAGGGATTCAGGAAAACTGGTTAGCCAAACTTGAATCCTGGAGATAGAGAAGGATAGTGCCTTCACTCAGGAGCTGTGGAGATGCTATAGTCAAAGGGAGAACTGATTATGATGTCAGCAAAATTCTGAATAGCCTGAGATTGAATGAACAACAGCGTGTTCTCTTTTTTTGAGTCGCCCTGCCGTAGCATGAGACAACCATAAATGTGAATATAAAGCCTTGAATTCACTCCACTGATTATTTACTTTATATGCTCCCCAACTATCAATAAAATGATTAGAAAGATTATATTTTAACATCTGTCCTTACCAAGTACAGGGTACCTGGGTATAACGGAAGAAGACTTCAGTGCTGCTTCTCTAAGGTTAAAGAGTACATTTAGTACTGTACTATTAAGATCAATACAGCACCTCAATCATAATATCAACTCACCTCTCCTAAGCTTCTCAGTCTCGTGCTCATGACGCACAATTGCCAGCCTTCTCTCCAGTTGTTCCATTTCTGCTTGTAGGTCAGATTCCAACAATAATTTCTTTTCCTTGTACATTTCGTACAGACGCTTCCAACGTATTCCATACTCATACTCGAATGAATTTCGATCCGCAAATCTGTTAAAACCACAATTTCACTGTATAAGCAAGCAGCAATTACAATATAAGTATTATATAAAGTGTGGATCACCGTAATGGTAGCGGGTTTAATGAAATGCATGTTTCTAGGAATACTGAATTAACCGACACTGTGAATGGGGCAATGAAACACAGCAGCAGGAAAATAAAAGGAAGAGAAAAAAAAAAAAAAAGCAATGAAACATGCTACTATAAATAAATATAAGGGTGGATGAGGGGCTCGAGCTGAGGTCTGTAAATTGACAATCCAATGCTCTCCGTCTCAATTTACAGATCTTGGTTCAATCCCCTCATCCACCCTTCTGTTTATTCAGTGACTGTTGTTTATTACAACTATAAATTATAAACAAACTCACCTGGGTCCCTCCTTACGTTCCTGCTTATACTGCTCATTCTTATGCATGGAACTTTCAGGCTGACCTTCTTCCTCATCACGAGCCTCAAGGGGCTCCACAATTACAGGACGAAGAGCACTGGAAAGAAAGACTGAAATAACACTAGTCCATTTTGATAAAAATTATCCGTGTAATGAAGGCCAGCGTCATAATAATGATGATGATTAAACTCTTCCATCAACCCTGTTCAGCAACTAGGCCAAAAGCCCAGTCTCGAATGAGCAAAATAATTTTACGATTTATACACTAAGTTAACGACAACGTTTGTGCCCAATTAGTAAACGCCTTTAGCATAAAAAAAAAGAAATTTATGAAACTTTTGAATGCGCACACTTTTAATAACCTGCAACTATGTCTCCATATTGTAGGAAATGCTCACACGAACCAATACTCAAATGTAGTTTTGTGTGAAAATAAAGCTATAGGCTCTGTAAAACTAGTAAAAAACACTAGGTGATCTATAGATTTTAAATGAAAGGTGCACTGTTCAAATTAAAGTTAGGTGAATTTTGAAAACTTATTAACTCGTTAATATTTTTTTCTTGTACTGTACCTAGAGCTAGTTTTCACACAAACAAATTACAGTCAAGAATATTTCACAGCGCTGACCATAGTAGTTACTAAAAGCATTTCACTTAACAATTAGAAAGACCCTGCCCCTTTAATTATATTTGCACACTGTGAAGCTATAACCAAGCATGTCAAGAGCTGTATTAAAAACCCTTGGGAAATACCATAGAGAATAAACAATGCTCTTTTACCAACAACAATACCGACAGAGAACGCAGCAACACGAGTACAAAAACGATAATGTTCCAGCCATCATCAATCCATTGCAAAACAAGGCCTCATCACCCAATACTACAGTACAAGGAAATGATTTAATGAAAAAGGTACCATTGCAGCACTATCCACAATGCTTTATTATTCAACAATACAAATGAATATACTCGTACAAAGACTGTGCTAGAGCATTTATTCAAATTATTGTAGAAAGTGATGCAAGCTCTGAAAGTAATTTTTTTTTTTTAGTTAGTGATGCACATATGAAGGTGTGCATTTAAGACAGGAAATGTCTTTCATCTGAGACAAGTGTACTATGTTATGACTGTTTAGACTATTTTGCGAAAAAAGTGAATGACTAGTCTTATTGATACTATATGTCGTAGGGTCTGTGCAAAAACTTTTTTGTAAAATGGGAGTGTTAAGTTTGAGTGAAGCGCACAATGCAACGCATGCACCCATCAACCATCACAACTCTCTACCCAAATGTACCTCATGCTCTCAGTTTTTCATTTGCTGGAGGCCCTAGTACAGTACACTATTCCTGAGACAGCATCTATGAATTATGTGCCCTGTAGTCCGCAGTTTTCTATTCCGTGGTAGACCTAGCTAACAACCACACATTATCCACAGGAAAGATTGCCCATGTCTGGTTACTCTACATATCACACACTGGCAATACTACCTAGTCTGTGTAACCCTTCACCTAAATAATGTTGGATCAGTAGATGCATTTTCATCAACCTCCACTTGTGTTGCAGCATGGGTAACTTGTCAAAATAATAAAGCAAGGCAAGAATAAGGTATCAAGTTATAATTTAGTTGAGATAAACTACTACTACTCTTTGTTTCCAATATTCTTTATCTACCTATCACATTAAAAACCAATTCTTTAACACAGTGAAACACGAAGAGAAATTAAAGTCCTAGTTGCCCTTTGCCCAAGGTTTTACATTTCAACTTGGCCTGTTCCCAAAAGAGTTTGTGCTTCCCTAAAATGCAATAGTAACAATGTGCTGTCTTTATGAAGTACAATGGACCCCCCAGATTACGTAATTAATCCGTTTCAGAGAGTGAGACTTATCCCGAGTGACTTATTCCGAATTAATTTTCCCCATAAGAAATAATGGAAATCCAATTAATCAGTTTCAGACACCCAAAAGTATTAAAAAATGTTTTCTACGTGAAATATACACTTACCTACACAGAAAATGATACATGAAGAATAAAACAATAACATCACACTTACCTTTGTTGAAGACAGTGTGATGTATGGAGGAGGAGAGAGAATGGAGGAGTTTACAATTGTTTGGAAGGGGAATCCCCTTCCATAAAGACTTCAGGTACCAAGTCCTTATCCTGGGGTTACTTCCCTTTTTTTTTTTTTTTTAATCCTGCTAGAACCAGCTTGAGAATCACTGGATCCCTGTCGCTCAAAAGGTTTGTTTCTGGTGTATGTTAGGAATTGTGATGGGAGACAGGACAAGATGGTCCTTCAATATAACACTAATATCAGCTCTACGGCTTGTCTAGCACAATTCATCTAATATGACATAATAAACAATATTAATAACAGAAACATGATATATACTCTAGAATGAATAAAATATGGCATTAAGAATGTCACAAGTGGTGGTGTGTTGTTTGTTGTTGGGTGTATAAGGGCCACTGAAAGATAAGCCTTACACAGTGGTGGTGAAGGCGGCAGCAGAGGCAGCGGTGTTAGTAGCCCTATATACCTCCAACAACAATGGAGGAGTCAGTTACGTGCTGTCCTTTTTCTATAGATTAATCGCTTAACTTACTTGCTACACTGTTAATGCTACACTATCGCTGGCTGGCACTATAGCCTTTATTGACTCCTGCTGCTTTAGTATAGTACATTTTGCAGAATCACTGAAAAAGGCACATTCTCCCCTCTCTCTCAGCCCTTTACCAAAGGGGTGGCTGGCACTAGAAGCTTTCTTTGGGCCCATGGTGGCTTATTTAGCAGTTACAAGCACTAAAAAATGGAATAATACAAAATGTATCGCATGAACGCATGGGATTGTTCTCACTGGCTGGTAAACAATGGCACACTGGCTGTACATGGAGTGTCAGGGCCGCTCAGTCCACACGAACACATTCCAGACGAATGGCTTATGCCGAGTTCAGTGACATTCACTGAGCCAATATTTTGACAAAAAAAAAAAAACGTTATTTATTCTGAATATTACTTATTCCAATGACAACTTAATCCGGGGGTCCACTGTAGTCCTAATTAACATACAAGTTATTCTCCAGAATATCAGCACCAAACAGCATTAACTGAATTGAAGAACATGTGGAAAAAATAGGGTTACATTCCTTGGATTAAATTAAAAAACACCTAAACAATTATAACTGTACCTTGGCTTAAATTCTGGTCATTGCTGCTTGTTGCTATGCAAGTATGTGGATAGGTTGATATGGTTCTGTAAAATACCTGTACAAACATGTAACAAGTAATATCAGCAACCCCTTCATCATCTGCTATCAATATGTCAACAGTAAACATAAGCCACATTTCCTTACTAAATTGTACCAAACATAACAACTCACAACTATACCAAATAAACATACTTAAAATGAAATCATTTGAGATGGTAATAAAGAAATTGACAATAGCTAATATTGTAATAGTGTGCAAGTAATATATTAAGGACTACAACTCCTCAAGCTGTACGAGTCCTACTCCGAGTAGCATGAAGGCCAAATACTGTTCAATACAACAAAAACTGTGGTAGCCCTATACACCAAAATCAAAGTTTTTCAAATCTCCAAAGCAGTATACCTTCACTATACAACTTTCTCATCTAATAATTTTTTCAACCTTGTTACCAATATAATCAACAATTATAGGAAATTACTAGGTACATGACTGATAAAGGCACAGAATATGTAATTAATGTTATCAAGGTTACTAGACTTTGGGTACTTCCCCTCCCCCCAGCATGATCAGTTGCTTTACCCGTGCTATTAAAACTGATAGAGTTTTAAAAAGTCTTGTTGAAGACGAGCTCTCTGGACACGCAGACAGAGAGATTCTAATGCATTTCAGATTAAGGCAATTTTTTAAGTTATTCGCAGAACACAAAAATTATATACTCACAGCAGCTGTAAAAGCAGGAGCAATATCAGAGCTACAAAATGTACAGTAAGTGTTAAATGTCCAAACAAGCAATACAATGCCTAAACTACTTTAAAATTCTAAAAGCACTTTATTATATTAAAAACCACATGCCAAACCTTTGTGGGTCACACAGCTCTACAGTGGTCCTTGTGTAAACTTGGAAGTTAACAATTAGAAAGAAAATAAAAATCAGTTGGTGAAATAGGTTAGTTTCCATTAGACATTCATTCATTCACACACACTCTCTCTCTCACACACACACACTCTCACACACACACACACTCTCACACACACACACTCACACACACACACACTCTCACACACACACACTCTCACACACACACACTCTCACACACTCACACTCTCACACTCTCACACACACTCTCACACACACACACATTCACACACACACACACACACACTCTCACACACACACACACACACACACACACCTCACACACACACCCCACACACACTCCACACACACAAACACACACACACACACACACACACACTCTCATCTCTCTCTCTCTCCTCTCTCTCTCTCTTCTCTTCTTCTCTCTTCTCTCTCTCTCTCTCCTCTCTCTCTCTCTCTTCTCTCTCTCTCTCTCCTCTCTCTCTCTCTCTCGTGTGTGTGTTGTGTGTGTGTGGTTGTGGTGTGTGTGTGTGTGTGTGTGTGTGTGTGTGTGTGTTTGTGTGTGTGTGTTGTGTGTGTCAGTCTCGGTCTCTCTCTCTCTCAGTCTCGTCTCTCTCTCTCGGTCTCGCTCTCTCTCTCTCTCTCGGTCTCTCTCTCTCGGTCTCTCTCTCGGTTCTCTCTCGGTCTCTCCTGCTCTCTCCAGGTCTCTCTCTCGGTTCTCTCTCTCTCTCTCTCTCTGTTCTCTCTCTCTCGGTTTTCTCTCTCTCGTCTCTCTCAGTCTCGGGGTCTCTCTCTCTCAGTCTCGGTCTCTCTCTCTCCTCTCTGTCGGTCTCTCTCTCTCTGTCTCGGTCTTTTCTCTCTGTCTCGTCTCTCTTCCAGTCTCGGTCTCTCTCTCTCAGTCTCGTCTCTCTCTCTCTCAATCTCGGTCTCTCTCTCAATCTGTCTCTCTCTCTCTCTCTGTCTCGGTCTCTCTCTCAGTCTCGTCCCTCTCTCTCAGTCTCTCTCCCT